TACAGCTTTTAAGTTCCATTTATGCTCTCAATGGAGCTACTTCTCAAATTGAAATCATGGAGTTTTTTCGGTTAATTATCTTCCCCTTTTCTTTGATATCTATTTGTAGTTCTTTTTAGTTAGTGCAGAAATAATTTTAGTTATGGGTATTATATATTTTTAAGGAGTAATGAATTATTTCAATCTTTCACAAACAAAAAACCTTAGGCTTATTGAAAGAGCACAGAGGACTGTCCGTGGATCTGCAGATGATATAGGATGGTTGAAGTGTGATCCCGAGATGCCTCCAGTTGAAGATGGAACAGAGAAGTTCACAGAAATTTTAGACAATATCAGGTCAACTGAGCTTTTCTTTTTTGTGTGTATATTATTACTTAGTATGTTTACGCACTTCTTGATTAGTTGGCTCTCATTTTGTTAGGCACGGTCTGCACAAACTGCCAAATTCAATGGTTTATTTATTGGTTCCAGGTATGTAAGCAATTTTCCCTCCTGAAAGCAACAATATTTGTACTCTTTTTTTAGGAAATTAGAGTTTTTTTACTAAAAATTTACTGTAGACAGGTCAAGGCATCAAAGATTTTTTTCTTAAAAATTTACGAGGAAAAGAAACCTTTCTGAAAACAATATTTCCTAACCAACCCTTAATTGATTTTAACCACCTCACCAAGTATATGATGAGTACATTCTGAATTATCTATTTTCTATCAGCTAAATAACTTCTTATATATCTTTCGCAGCTGAAATAAAAAAATGTAAATTCATGAATTGCCTTTACTTGTATATATAGTGAATAAGATTCTACATGGGATTTCAACCGACTAAAATCAGTTATTTATTTATTTATTTTTATAAGAAACTAGGCCTCATTAAAAACCCCCTTCATACCCGTCTTTGTACATAAGTACCTTGGCAGACATTGGAAGGAGGAAAAGAGTGCCTAAAGATTTTATTCCATAAATAAATTACACCTCATACATCAACAGACATATTACAAAGCACCAACCAACTTCTTAATCGCATCCCACCCTACAAACACACAACCCAACCAAAAACTTACTAAACAATTACCCTATACCCTACTTAGCAAACCGTCAGCCTCCCAATTTACAACCCTTTTAACTGATCTTATAATAACCCTATATTCCATTACAACACTAACAATTTCCTTAACCAGCTGTGAGAACACATTAGGACATGCTTCAGGAGTCTTAATCCATTTGACTGCAACTTTTGAATCCGTCTCTATGATTTACCCGCCCTTACCACTCCATTCTGATTTCACAAACAAAGCTAAACCAGTTTGAGTGGCCTTCAATTCAGCTTGAATAGGAGTTCCAGGACCCGTAGGTTTCGAAAAAGAACCCAGAATCTTGCTCTCTTCATTTCTCAATATACCACCAATTCCACTGCTATTTCAGTCACTTGTCACAGCCCCATCCACATTAATTTTGAAGAAACCCTAGGGAGGGGGACACCACGAGACCTTTAACAGATTATTCTTCATGGATGGATTGCTCGCGTCAGCCAATTTCGGATCACCAACAAGACAATCAAGGAGAACCGGAAACTTAAGGAATTTCGCCGAAAACCACACAGCCACTCTATATCTAGAAATAAAAAACAATTGATTCTGATCTATACATCCATTCTCAAAAACCACTTGGTTCCGACACTTCCATACTGACCATAAGACAGCTCCCGGAATAAAGTTCCAAATAGTAGACTTTGGAGCTAGACTTACCCAAGATGATAAAAGAACATTAGGATACACTGGAAGAGCCGTAGATAGATTCCATAAGTTTAAAAACCTCCCCCATAAGCCCCACACAATCGAACAGGAAAAGAACAAGTGAGAAACCGTCTTTTGGTACATGCCACAAAGAGAGCATAACATGTTCTCTATCCCACTAACACCTCGCTTTATTAATTCAGATTTAACGGCCAATTTTTGATGAAAAACCTGCCACGTAAACGCTTCCACTCTTGGTGTCGTAGAACCAATCCAAACCATCTTTGACCAAACCGTATCGTCAATCCAAACTGACACTTAGAACTAAGAATTTACCAGACTGAACCAAGGCTGAAATTGACTTGAGTTCAAATTTGATGCCGTTGGTTGGCATGAAAGAAAAGGTAGATGCATTGAGGGATCTTTGAACTATATCGTGAATCGTGATAATTTCCTCCTTTGCTTTAGATGGAATATTTCGATATCAGTTAATTTTCAGTTCTGGCAACTTCTTTGGCAGGTCTTTTCAGCAACCATGGTCCTCTATATTTTGTCAGTACAAAAACAAGTTTCTCAAAGCTGGGTCTAACTTGTCATATTGCCAAAATTCATAGTGAGGTATATTTAATTAATCTTCAATTCCGCAGTTCTGTCCTTTTTAGTCTATACTGAAAGTTGACAATTACTAACCAGGCTTCAGTTGAGAAAAATGCCAAAGAGATTAAAGATTGCATTGAGGAAATTTATTGGGGTTCCAACAAACGTGTTTTGCTTCTCGGACATAGCAAAGGTGGAGTAGATGCAGCGGCTGCTTTATCTATCTATTGGTCTGACTTGAAAGATAAGGTTGCCGGATTGGCAATAGCTCAGAGTCCATATGGCGGAAGCCCTATAGCTTCGGATATCTTGAGAGAAGGACAACTCGGTGATTATGTGAATGTACGGAAACTTATGGAGATTCTGATTTGTAAAGTGATTAAGGTATGAATTTGATCTTTTATACATTTTTTTTCATCTCAAGCATCTACAAATAATTGGCAGTATGCAACTATGTTTGCTGCGACTTCCGAGTTTCCATGGGAGGAACTCGGCTGCTGCTTTGGTATTTTAGTGATTTTTACCTCCTTTTCCACGGTTTGTGTTATAGATGATTATACTTTCTACGAGTTTCCATGGGAGGAACTCGGCTGCTGCTTTGGTATTTTAGTGATTTTTACCTCCTTTTCCACGGTTTGTGTTATAGATGATTATACTTTCTAGTGATGTGTAGTTATCTTTTAGTAATTGCTATGTTGTTTCAAAGCTTCATTTGTCTTGAATTGCTCATGTTTGACACCCATATCTTCTAAGGGTATTGGAATGTGATCCTTCGACTCAAGGATAAAGAAAGAAGAATTTAACATATCCGTTTCGGACACATACTCATATCCGATGCTCAAACCCATGTCTTAGTAGTAACATCACATTTTCTTTTTCTAACCATCTGTGCTTGAATAATTCCGACTTTAAAGGGGGACATGCAAGCTTTGGAAGACTTGACTTACACTAGGAGGAAGGAATTTTTGAAGAAACACCCTTTACCTAAGGAGCTTCCTGTTGTTTCTTTCCATACCGAAGCTGGCATTACTCCTGCCGTTCTTGCCACATTATCTCATATTGCTCATGCGGAGCTACCATTGATGGGCGCCCTCTCTGATGGCCAGCCCGCAAGGTTGCCTGTGGTCATGCCCCTCGGTGCTGTAATGGCTGCATGCGCCCAGTTGCTGCAGGTCAGATATGGTGAAAAGAGTGACGGGGTTGTGGCGCGCTGTGATGCAGAAGCCCCAGGATCTGTTGTGGTTCGGCCAAATCGTAAATTAGATCATGCCTGGATGGTTTATTCATCGTTGAACGACGACCCTTCGGAACAAGATGCAGCGCAAGTGTGCGAAGCTCTTTTAACACTGCTCGTGGAAGTTGGGCAGAGAAAAAGACGCGAACTCTCGATGAAATATGAATGAGGTAATGGCTGCTCGTGTCGTCTCACACCGAGTAGCCGAGGTTCTTTAGGCGTCAGTAGCTCCATTTAAGCCTGATAATTTTTTTTATTTGTATATATCGGAATTGTTAGGATTTGTAAAAATAGAGAATCTATTACAATGATCATAACTCATAGGCTATGCGACATTGTTGTATATAACTGACCTTTAAGTTATCTCGACTCGAATTTAAGTGTAAGATATTGGCATATATCTTTCACGAGTATTTTTAATATTTTTAAAGAGTTTCTTCTATATATGTGACTATTCATATTTTGTTTCTATATAAGTGTTAGATAAGGATAATTTTGGGTTAAATTACTCTGCAGGTTATTGTGTTATAGTGCTAATTGCTTTTTGATCCTTGTACTTTAAAAATGCATAAAAACTATAAAAGATAGATAGAAAAACAAGCAAAATGAATTGTTAAAATATGATGCGTCATGTTAACCTGATTTTTGTTGTTTAAAAAGTTATAACATTTGTGTTTAACATAAGATCTAGACACTAAGGTCAAAAGAAAGCATCCTAAATGACATCAAATCTCACTGTTTTTACTTCGTATATATATCACTCGTATAAATGTGCATACATAATGAATAATAAAGAGTATAATTATCAATACTATAAGTCATGTTTATTCATGCTTAATATCAAATTATTATAGTCACAGTAGTTCACATACATCACTTATCATTTGCCTTACGCTTACAATAACACATATCATATCATGTATATCAAATTCACATATCAATTTTCATATTTAAGAATCTTTAGCATTTTGTTTGAAATGAAACACAAACTAATTACTCATTTGATAAACGAACTCCATACAACTCTCATTTATTTATAGTCACATAGGTCCAAATACCACACAAATGATGAAGTCAAAGCTTTACATCCAACATTATTATGTATATTTCGAGTGGAGCAAGTTTTAATTCTTCCTACCTTACCTCGTATCTCAATTATCACATATATAAAAAAATATATAGAGTATTCTTTCTTAGGCATGCCTTTCATATCTAAAGATTTGATTCAAATTTATCATAAGTAAGTTGTTGTTTGATGTATAACATATATCATAGTATAAAATCGCTCAAAGATGATAGTTCATGTGCCAAAGTGGGACAAAAAATGTTTAGGTACTAAAACGAAAATCAATTATAGTTTGAGGGCCAAAAGGAGCATTAAGCCTTAATTTATGAGATTATTCCCTCTCAAACAGCTAAAATAAAAACCAAGGAAATTACAAAATCAAAGAAGAAAAGCTCAATTTCTCCCGATTCCCGATAATACCCTTCTAACATTCACGGAATTTCAGTCCTTCATTGAATACCCCTTCGGCCTCCCTAAGTAATTATTTAGTATTTTGTTCATTTTCTTGCTGTGTTTCCAGATAGAGAAAAGAGTAAGGGGAATTAGGGTTTCCGATCACAGTGTCGATATAACTGATTGGTTTTAGAGCTTTCAAAGTGAGGAACTAGAGTTTTCCAACGGGTTGATTGCCAGGGTTTTGTTAAAAGACCATTTCTTATTGTTTTTATCAGGTGCCAATTATGGTTGTTGGGAATGGGTGATTTACTTGGGGTTTGATGTGAAGAAAAGTTGCATTGGATGGGTTTCTAGGGTTTGTGAGTTTTTAGAGTGCGTTCAATGGGGAGCACTGGTGAGGCTGACCGAAAACGGCGTCACTTTAGCTCCATATCGCCCACTGCTGTTGCCTCAAAGACTCAACCATTCCCCCCAATTTCTGAGGAGAAAAAGGTAAGGTCTTCGTTGCTCCATGTTTTTTAAGTTTCTGATTTAAAGTATTTAGTCAAATATTTATACTTTCCCTTTGCTTGTTATTTTCTTAAATTTAAATTTGAAAGGAAAATGAAAATTTCTTAAATCCTGACTTGGTTTTTGATCTGTATCAAAATTGGAATTGCCATTTTTATTATATCGTTTCTGCTTGAATATTCTTTCATGGAATCAAATTGATGTATGCAGATATAAGGGTCGAACCTAATGATTCGAACTTCAACGATTGGTTTGATTCTGAGGATTTTTTATTATTTAATTTGATCATGAATTTTCTGGTATTGCTACTTACCCCCTCCCTTTTTCCCTCTAATATGCTCCGGCTTGAGTGTTGGAGATATTATGTTTTCTGTGAGAAGATTTTGATTGGGGTGTGGGTAGGTTGTTTGTTCTGTAGAAACTTTGAAGTTGGACCATATATGTATGTATGTATGTATGTATGTATGTATGTATGTATGTATGTATATGTTGATGAAATATTCTTCCTTTAGAAACTTTAACCTCAAGCTCATATTTCTGCATTAGCTTTGTTAGTTATGGGCCATGTTATTGCTTGTCGTCAAGAATTATTGTTATATAAAGTTTTTCTTTTACCTGTGCTTGTATGTATTTGTGCTTTTGAATTGTGATGTCAATTTGCTTTTTATACTTCTATTCTGGGTTGTTGAATGCTATGTTACGAAATTTTTGGGGAAATAATTCAACTGTTTATGAGTAGGTTGGCAAAGTTGAAATGCTTTCTTTTATTAGTTTATATTTTTTGAGCCTTCCCCTAATGCTTCCATCCATTTTTCTGGGCATGATGCAGCTTGATACTGCAGTTTTACAATTTCAGAATCAAAAGATTGAACAAAAGTTAGAGGCTCAGAAGGTCGAGTATTCTACTCTCGAGACGAAGTTCATTCAGTTGAAGGAGAAACAAAAGCCATACGATTCTATATTGAAAGTAGTGAATAAGTCTTGGGAAGCAGTAAGTCCCTGTTTAACCGTTGAATGATTTTATGTATTTTCTGCTGATTATGGAAAGACTAGAATCATATTTTATACCTTCTAGGTTTGGTTTTGTTTTGTTTAGTAAACTGCTTGATGGGAAATTGGCATTATTTCTTTTACAATAGCTGACTACTGATTTGGATTCAAGTTCCACCCACACAAGAAAGTCTAGCGGACAGGATGTTGGATGTACACCAAATGCAAAAGGTGAGAATCTTCTGCCGTGCTTTGGTCTCTATTTATTGCTGCTGTAGCCCTTTTTGATGAAATGTAACATAATTTCAGGGGCAATATTTTCTTTCTTATAACTTCTAAGATTGAGCTAAATTTGACAGTTCTGATTTCTAGGAGTTTTATATAATTCTTCCATTGCCTTTTTTAGTTTTTAATTGTTTTTCAAGTATGCTTGCTAAGAATGCTTTTGCATTTCTTTGTAGATGGACCTCCATTTCTTACTGAGGATGATTTTCTTAGTCGATTTATGGAGACAGGTGCAACTGAAAGCTCCTCTTCCAATAATTGCCCTGAGCATATCAAAGAAGATAGAGAAAATAAGGCTTCTGAAAAGACTAGGAACATTTTACACAATATAATAGTTGCCATTGATGACCTATGGTGCCTGAAGGATGGGTTATATGCTGCTGTTCAGAAAGAGCTTCAGAATGATGGTATGTAAAAAGTAATGTTTTTTTTTTTTTTTTTTTTTTTTACTTTTTACTGAGGTTACTACTTAGTTAACTGTACTCATGTCTATTTATGCTAGGCTCATGCAGGCATCTGATAGAACTGGAATCAGAAGTTAAAAAATTGAGAATCGCAATATCTGATATTCATTTGAAACACAGATCTTTGGCTAGAGAACTGCAACACCATAGAGATATTGATGCAAAAAGTAAAGTTGCGCTTAAACGTCTGAAAGGTAATTTCTATATGTTATCAGAATTGTTCTTTTGCCTGGATTAAGAAGTGGTGACTACATTATCAGTAGCCTAGATGCCACATTTATAAGTTATCGCCTAAGCAGATTTGGCATGCATAGATGTTCGTGTTAGGATTTACGAAGCTCAATTGACAACCGAAAATAATTTGCCAAGAGGGGGTGAATTGGCTTTTGATAAAAATTTAGGGAGTAAGAAGATTTAAAGGATGAGAAAAATAATGCACCGAGATTTATAATGGTTCAACTCCCTCAATGAAGTCTACATCTACTACCTAAGCTCCCCACTTAGGATTTTCCAACAAATACACTAATTTATTCTTTCTTTTCAAGGATCAAGAGTAATCTTTACAACTCCCTATCTTTTCAATTGGCTAAGATAGAACCCAAACTCCTTTACAAAAGGAATAAGAAAGTAAACAAAGAAACCTCTAAAAGGTAGGTGTTTACAAAATTAAGCCCACAAGAACAAAATTATTTACAAGAGAAAGGAAAATAAGAATGAAAAACTCTTCTCTTGTGTTTGATTGCTTGAATAGGTGTTCTAACCCTTCTTCAAGTGTCTTGAACTTGTTTTTATATGTTAGAATGAGCTTGTGGTCGTTTCTAGCCGTTGGGAGTGATTTGGAGCCGTTGGGATGTTTTTTCTGCAAAATAAAACTGCCCAGGACAGGAATATCGGTACTCTATTAATAAGTATCGATACTTCCTTTGTTATTTTTAAATAAAACTAGTTGTTACTAGTCGTTGGGCCTGACGATATCGATACTATGCTCATGGTATCGATACTACTATGTAAAGTAGTATTGGTACCCCTTTGGGTATCGGTCCCTATTTTGTATTTTGGAATTTGAGTAAACTGGTAGTATCGATACTACCTTGAGAGTATCGATGCTTCTCTTACCTTTGGTATTGGTACCACATGAACAGTATTGGTAATGTTCATATAGTATCGATACTTTAGGAACAATATTTGTACTTAGTACTTTGAAAATCAGTTTTGTGCTCGAATTCTAGTTTAATGGACTTTGAATTGTTTTTGAAAACTTTGAACAAATTCAATTCAAGTCCAAAAACATTTCGCCTTAATTTGTTATATCAAAACATTTTAAAAATGGTTCAACAGTTCGTAATATTTTATGATAAAATAAACTTGCATGTATGTGGTAGCAAACAAAAATCAGTATACATGCATGCAAATTCATGTAAATTTATGTGATCCACACTATTCTTTCACCTTAGAGAAACTGCTCTCTCCCTCCAATGTTAATCAATGGGTGCTAACCCTTTTGTTGTGGTTCAAATGCAAGTTAATTATCAAGGTAGGAAATGTAGTTAAGGTTTCTGCGTGTTTGATTGGGTCTGTTTTCTTCTTTTTTGTTTGAAGGTGAATTCGAGAGGGCAGTTGCAGAACTGCAGGAAAGTAACTGCAAATTGGCAGCTATTAAAGCAGAAAGAGATGCAACGAATGGGGCATTTTCCCCTGTCTTAAAACTAGGCAGTAAGCCCATTTCTGGTGATAAAGTCAAAGAAAAGCATAGAGATCTGCATGAAATGGAGTCTGCCCTTAAAGAGCTGACGGTAATTCCTTTTTTCCTTCTATTTATCTTGTGAAATTTCTAAATCCAAAAGTTGGTGCAATGATCTATTTGAGTTGCACAGGAGCAAGCATCTTCTCGACTGACAGGGCTAAAAAGTCTTCATGAAGAAAGAATAAAAATATTACAGCAGTTATCGAATTTGCAGGTTTGCCTTTTTAAAGTTATTATTTTATTTTTCATTTTCCTTTATTTCCAACTTGCCATCATATATGTTGGATGGGGATTTCTCATTAACAGAACACATTGAAGAGCGTGAAGCGTATTTCTTCTTCCCAAGCGTTCCTTTTGGTGAGAGATCAACTAGAAAAGTCAAAGTCAGAAGTCTTCCATTATAAAGATTTATTTGAGAAACTACAGGTTGTTACTGGTCGGTAGTTTCATATATGCCTTTTTCTGTAATTTTGTGGACTTCCAATTCCAATGCTAACTTTAACTTCCCTCCTAAAACTTTTAGGTTGAGAAAGATAACCTGGCTTGGAGAGAAAAGGAGTTGAATATAAAGAATGACATAGCTGATGTTTTTCAGAGATCTTTGGCAGTTTCTAATTCTCGAGCTTCTTATCTCGGGGCAGAGATACAGCGACAAATTGATGAAAGAAAGAGGATTGAAGCTAAGCTGGAAGAGGCATCTAGAGAACCCGGTAGGAACATATCTATTGTTTTCATCTTACCTCTATTCTGTTGCTGAAAATCAGTTTAATATACATTCAACTTTCAGGAAGAAAGGAAATAATTGTGGACTTTAAAAACTTGCTTTCTTCATTTCCCGAGGCAATGAGTTCGATGCAGAGCCAATTAGGCAAGTACAAAGAGGCCGCTGTGGATATTCATTCTCTCCGGGCTGACGTGCAATCTCTTTCCAACATTCTTGATAGGAAGGTTTGTACTTATATAAGTTGTCTGGTTGTTCCCTCTATTGCCTAAAGGCCTTAAAGATCCTCGTTTCTTTTTGCTTCACGGACTTGTAAAGAATTTTTAAATTATTGTTTATGAACAGGCTAAAGAATGTGAGAATTTATCTGTCAGATCTGCTGAACAAGTTGCTGAGATGCGTAAGTTGCAAGCCATGGTATGATTGGTTAATCCGCCCTTTTCAGTCTCCAAATCTTTTTTTCTCTGAGAAGGAAAATATATTGTTTAGGGATGAGTCTACAATGAATGCCATACACCGATATGGACCACTAATGACATACACTGGTATGCACTACTAATATTTAAATAGGGTAAAATTCATAAATGGTTATTAAATTTTGCTAAAATGATTTTATTTGCCATTTGATTTTTAAAAGTTACAAAATAGACATTAAAATTTTGATTGTGTTAAAAAATGGGTATCGTCCATTATCAGTCTCCAAGTTTTTTTTTCCTCTTGTTTAGATATTATTTTGATTTCGTTTATTACAGGTCCAGGATTTGAAGGACAGTGATATGGAGATGAAATTGATGTTGGAGATGTACAGACGTGAGTTTACTGATGCAAGGTCAGATTATCTAATACAAGATGCATTCTTTTGTATCTTCTACAATCTGATTGTATATGTTGAATTTGAATTATTTTCCATAGAATATTCTGGTCAGCAGAGCAATCTTTGAGAAATCTTTCACAAAATTCCTCCATTCAGTGCTTCTTGGAGTTAGACTAAGCGTTTGTTTCTTCTTTTAACATTTTTCTTCACTGGAAATTATTAGCAACTTGAGGTGCAGGAGAATGTCAGCATATCTTATGTTGTTAGTGGTTATGATATGCTACCTTTGGTTATATTGTGCTATAATTAAAGTGCTGATCAGTGATCTCACTACCCTTGATTTGGTTCTTTTTTATGCTTAGGTCCAGATTCTTACATTTTATTTTTCTGTGATTGCAGAGATATTTTGGAAGTGAAGGATTCAGAATACAAGGCATGGGCTCATGTTCAAAGTTTGAAATCCTGCCTTGATGAGCATAATTTGGAATTGCGTGTTAAGACAGCTAACGAAGCTGAAGCAATGTCCCAGCAAAGGTTAGCTGCTGCAGAAGCTGAAATTGCTGAATTGCGACACAAGCTGGAGGCATCTAACAGGTTAAAGTTTACCCTATTATTTTCATATTATATATACTACCAGGCCCTATTAATTCCACGATATGATGTCACCAATTCAAGTTTTTAATTTCACCATACCTTTTCTTTTGGATGCAGATGTTGTCTAAATTCATTTTGCAGCAATTGTTATATCTGTGTTAGGCAAATGTTTATTTGTTGTGTATAGACAATTCCGCATACAGTATTCTGTTGAAATTCTCATTAACCAGAATGTAGATGTATTGGGAATAGTATACCTGGTTTTCATGATGTTGATACCTTCATTTATCAAAAAGGGGTTTATGAGAAGCAAGTGAAAAGTGTTTGTGGTGTTATTTCAGGGAAAAGGCTAACCTTTCTGGTGCTTTGAAATCGAAAAATGAAGAAAATGAGGCTTACTTGGCTGAAATAGAGGTTAGTTTCTTGTTATTTAGTCTTGGCTCTGCCTTTGGCACTATCATTGTTTTTTGATATAGCTGTTAGTTTGGTTTTCCCTCAGTCAATTGGGCAGGCATATGATGACATGCAAACACAAAACCAGCAGCTATTGCAGCAAATTACAGAAAGAGATGACTATAACATGAAGGTAATCAATTATTTGGTATATGATATTCGGAGATCCCATTAGAGTTGATCATGGATGCTTGCATAACCAATCAAAAGATGTTTGATCATGGAATAGAAAACATCCACTTGCAAACCAAGACAGAAAACTAACAATTAGGAGTACATCATTTTTTTTTTTTTGATAAGAAGGTAGGCCTCGTTAAAAACCCCCTTCATGATTAATGGAGCAAAAAGTGCTCCTTAATCAGCGGAAGGAGGAAAAGAGTGCCTTAATTCATTTAAAACCGAAAGATACATAATGTTTAAAAACAAAACACACCCTTTACAATAATCAACCAAAATCCTAACTAAGGCCTAATAGAAAGCTGCGTAACTAGCCAATACCAGCGGAAGGAGTACATCATTTCGCTCAGGTTAATATGACATACAAGGAGATTGAACATGTTTAGTTGTGTTTGGTACTTGGTCTCCATTTGGGTGTTAATTGTTGATATGAAGATTCACATATATTCTCTTCGGCCAGTAATCTGCTCAGTCATTTATGTAAAATTTTATTGAGATTCCATCTATCTTTTAGCTGGTATTGATATTTTTTAATAGCCTAACCCTTCAACTATAACAGCGCCAATGTTGTTATCGACCTAAACATCACTGAAATTTGCTTGAAAGGTGATATTAAAGACCGATGGACTTGCTTATCATGAAACTGGGGGAGTGGTTAATATATGTGGTTTTGTTATAACCTTTTCTTGTAAAGGACTTTGGGCATCTACATTCTTTCTTCTATTTCTTGACATTTACCTTCATGTAGAGAACTTGTTCTTCAAGAGAATACATGGTCTTCTGTATAGACTTGTATATTTGCTCCTAGAGCTTGATTTTGCTTTAATGGTCCTTTACAGCTTGTTTTGGAAGGTTTGAGGGCAAAACAGCTTCAAGACTCTCTACTATTGGAGAAACATACCATGGAGAAGGAGATTCAGCAAGCCAGTGCATCCATTGATTTTTATAATATGAAAGCTGCGACAATCGAGGATCAAGTATGACAATGAATGTGTTATGTTGTATGAAATAAACTTCTAAAGGCATTCAAGTCTTGAGCAATTCCTTTTGCAGCTGAGGTTCTGCTCAGACCAGGTTCAGAAATTTGGAGAAGAAAGATTTCAAAATTCAGTTTTGTTGGAAACTACGCAAAAGCGATTGTCAGATACAAGAAGATCATCTCATCAAGCAAGGGAGTCACTGGAGGACTCACAATTGAAGATTGAGAAAAGTAGAGTGGCATTAGTGGAAGTGCAGATTGAAATAGAGAGCGAAAGGTAACAGAATTTTATTAGTCCTTTATTTTTCCAGTTTGTATCGATGCATAGGTGAGTCACGTCTGTTTTTCTCTGTCATTTGTTTATTAGGTTTAACAAGAAAAGAATCGAGGAAGAATTGGAAATGGTGAGAAGAAAGGTAGTACATCTTCGAGCAAAAACAGAAGGCAACTCGGTGGTTGAAAAGCTTCAACAAGAACTTAGAGAATATAGAGAAATACTGAAGTGTAGTATCTGTCTTGACAGACCGAAAGAGGTAAATGTGCAATTCTGAGGCAGTTCAACTAGGCCCTTGTTGTAGTTTGGGCTTTTATTCTCATTTATGCCGACAGATGGATAGGATGCTTCTTGTTATTTAAAGTGTGGGGTATGATCCTCCAAATATATGGAAAAACTACACATTTGCCATATTTGACACTTACCCATGTTACATAGCTTATAGCTTTGGCTTGTTCCTTTTCGTTTCAAATTTCCCAGTCTATTTCCCAATTTTCTTATAGATATGTTGTCCATTCTCCAGGTTGTTATTACAAAATGCTATCATCTCTTCTGCAACCCTTGTGTACAGAAAATCACCGAAAGCCGTCACCGCAAGTGTCCTGTGTGTGTTGCAAGCTTCAGTGTCAATGATGTTAAACCTGTTTATATCTGACATTGGAGCTCTCATCACGACTGCTAGTCCATGGGCTGCATCTTCCATGGGCTTCGGCCTGCATCTTCCATGGGCTTTGGCCTGCATCTTCCATGGGCTTGCACCGCCAGAGACCTGAACATGCACAGGTTCCATGTATTGTTATATTAGAGAGTTGTTAGAGAAGAATCCAGACAGGAACTCGAGGTTTCCTATCCCTATCCATATTTAGTCAATGCAAATCCTCAGCACTTACCTGTTTGGTTCCAAGTTGATTAGACATAAATTATGCAGTATTTCATGATGTTTGCAGATTATTCAGAATTGATCAAATTCTGTACTCTGCTGAAATCTTTTTGGAGCATGACTCGAGTTTTTGGCCTGCACATATTTTAAAAGAGCTTGTTGTTAGTATTATTTGTTTTTATTTTTGTTCTCCTTAATTTTCGGTTTTAATTGTAGGTTATCTTAGTAACATGTTGAAGGAAACTAATTTAGTCTTGTGTTCTTATTTGTTGTGGTGGGGAAAGAGAGCACTTATAATATCATCATTATAAGGCTTTCTTTGAAATTTTACAAGGGTTTCTCTAGGGAAGGGGCTAATGGGATTGATTCAATCATGTGACCTCACGTAGACGTATCAATTCGTGTATCAATGTCATGTTTGTATATGTATTCGGGTATTTGTCATGTTTGTGATTTTTTACATTTATATAAATTTTGACATGTTCATGATTTTTATCCGTTCATCTCTTCTTTTTACTCCCTTCTGGGTCTTTTGTAGTTTTGTTGTATTTGTGTTCTAACTATGGTGCTAAACACATCACACAATTTACAAAGGAATTTGCCAAGTGCTACATACAATTAAAGCAATGCATTGGAAACATAACAAGCAGTAGCTTCGGCATGGTATGGGGTTTTCAAACATTTTTATATTTTATAGATTAAATTATTTTTAAATAAACACATGTTTTTAAGTACCAATTTGGGCCGAGTTAGATTGTTTCGAAATTGTGAAAATCTTATTCAAGAACTGATTTGTGTGGCCAGACTGTACTTAATGAGCCTGTTTATTGTCTTAACATGATCAAACCAGGGAATTGTTCCAACCCTAGAATCTTTTTCCCATCCCCCAATTGTAGTGCCAAGAAATAAATTTTATATAGGTGGTGGTAAAACACAATTTTATGTCAACAAGAAGTTATATTAGAAATTTCATAAATGAATTTCAGAGAATACAAAAATCAGATTATTGATAAAAAAATATATCTAAATTATATAGTTATATAAAATTTGCAGGTGATGCAAGTATCTTTAAAATCCTTAGGTTCATTTTTTGATAACCGGATTTGAAAGTTTAACATATTAATATTTTGAGGTGAGTACAATTGTATATTAACGACATAAATTTTTTGTGTGGGGGTGAGTACAAATAAAACTTCTGATGAGCAAAAAATTCAAGTTATTGGTCAAATTGCGTATGATTCTAAAGCATTTTGAAGCACTCTGATAGGGTTATCATTGCAATTCTATGCTCAGCTTGGATTACATTTGTTTCTTATCAATTTGGTTATTGGGTATGAATGACAGAGATTGATACTTTAGAGCTAATTGTTTGATTATTATGACAAACATGGAGAGTTTAAACAGACAAAACGAAAGGCAATCTGGTTAAATGCAAGGAACTAAAAGGGTAGAAAAATTAGAACCCGGAAAGCTCTTCAAAAGAGAATTGGGAAACAAGGACTCATTTATCCCCTGTCCTCGGACGAATTCCAAGTCCACTTCTTATACTCGCACCCACCTCCATCAGATCTTCGACCTGTTGAAGAAATGAAATCACAAAACCAAAATTTGAGCACATTTAGTGAAAAGGTTGAGGGTGAAGATTTAGAAGACGTGGACATGAGTAGATTTACTTTGTGAATGCCGGAGGCTTTAAGGAAAGCGATGGAAGCAGTGGCGGAGGCGCCGAGGAACAAGGAAGCGACGCCGAAGGCTTTGACGGGCATCAAACGGTGGTCACCGATATAACCTTTTCGATACGAAGATGCTGCCCATCCGAGCTGGGTTACGCTCGCTAAGGCCCAATACCAGTGGGTGGCGATGCGGATCTTTTCGGTGTCGCCGCCGGTCTCCTCCGCCTCCATTAGTTGTTTTCCTCTTCTAGACCAGCTTTTGAGCTGCTTTTCTCCAATTGCTTCTTAATTGGGGATTTATTAATAGGTGATTTAAACAGAAACCATGCAAGACAGGTTTTTCTTTAAGATTTTTTCTTTTATTTAAAATTTTATCAGTAAGTTAATACTTAGATAATTATAAATTTTTTAACGAAAAAAAAAGATAAATTTAAAACATATAATTAATGAATATTTGTAATTTGTAATAATAAATAAATTTAATAAAGCAGCATCGTATATTTAAGAAATTATTTTATAATTTTTAATAGTTAAAAATTTTAATAAAATAATATTCTATAATAATTAACCATTTATAGATTTTATCTTAATTTTAAATCCTCCCAATTTATTTATTCAATAAATAATTACTCTTTGTATATTGTGAATCGAAATAAGTTTCGATATTTAAAATTAATTTAAATATGAATAGATAAATATTCATTGTTTAGAAAGAGTAGAAATATATTTTATATGGAAACTCTATGTATAAAATTTCAATTTTTGTAACGAGGGGTCATAAGGACTAGCAGGAGATCTGTTTCATTAAAAAAAAAGAGGTGTTATTTTAGCCTTTGAATTATGTCGAAATCATTTTGATGTTTTGATATAACAAATAAAATGTTAATAAATTTTAAGATTTCATATTCAATTTCAAATATAATATTTAATTTATTTATTCGAATATTATAAATATTACTCCGAGTCTTCAAATTTCAATTTTACTTCTTATTTAAATGAAAAATTGTGTTTCACTCTTAAAATATTTTTGAAAGAATTTTTACAAAGTATTTCGAACCATAATCGAGTCAAAATTGAGTTTTAAATAGGGTAGTATAGATACCTCCTTGGACAATATCGATACCGCCCAAACATCGAATACAAAAGAGGTACTGATACCCTACAAGGTATCGATACCCTTACGTAGTAGTACCGATACCATGATTATGGGTACCGATACTACTTACGTGATTTTGACTCCGAGATAAACATCGAATGCAAAATGGGTACTGATATCATGAGAGGTATCGATATCGTTGGTTTTGCAACGGTCGAAATATTTGAATTTTATACATGTAGTATCGATACCCCTTAGTGGAGTACTGATACCCTTACGCTCTCAACAACTTTTTGAAGTGGAAAACATACAACAACGGCTCCATTGACTCCATGATTATCTCCAACATTCAGAATTCATTCAAGGGGTATTTAAACAAGTCATGAAGCCATTGATGATGAAGAGAAGCTAGAGAAAAAAAAGAGAAAGCCTTAAACTTATTGTTTGAGCAATTCAAGCCTACATCCATTCAATATTCATTTTGCTTTCAAGAACACCATTTTTGCTCAATTGTATTTATTCTTGAGTGTTTTTTCTTTGTTCTAGAATTGTGCAAACATCTTACCTTGTGAGGTTTTTCTTCTAAGTTTGCAAGTTTGTAATTTTCTCTTTGAGAAGAGAGTGTCTTAAGAATTTGGGGTATAATTCTTGAGGGAGTTATAAGGTTACTCTTTGTCCTAAAAAATGACAAATTAGTGAATTTGTGGAAAATCCTTAGTGTGGATAGCTAAGGTAGTGGACGTAGACTTTGGTTGAGAAAGTCGAACCACTCTAAATCGTTGTGCAAATCTTTTCAATTTTATGTCAAAGCTTCCACCAAAATTTTAATTGCCAATTCACCCCCTCTTGGCTATTTCATCCGATCGATTAACTCAACAATTTATATCAGAGCTACACTCATTTGAAGGTTTTACCGCCTCTTGAGAAGATCTAGGAAGAGTTCAATCGATATTCAAGTCATCAATGGCCTCTACATCAAACTTCGACTTCGTTCTTAATTCTCAGCCCGCCAACAACCTCATTTCTTCAAAGGAGATAACTATGTCTATTGGAAGAACAGAATGAAGTTCTTCATTCAAGCTAGTGACATGGGAGCATGGAAAATCATGATGGGAGGATACTCTGAACCATCCATATAACTAGAAATGTGGAGTGAAGAAGAGACGAGATTATTCCAGCTCAATTCAAAAGCAATTCATATTCTATTTTGTGCACTAGGACCAGATGAATACGGGAGAATTTCATCTTGTTCAACCGCCAAGGAGATATAGGAAAAACTTTAACTCACACATGAAGGAACCAACGAGGAAAAAGAAACCAAAATTAGTCTTCTTACTCATAGCTATGAAAATTTCAGGATGAAACCAGATGAATACATCAAAGCTATGACAGATAAATTCTCTGTAATTGTTAATGGTCTCAAGGTATTCATAGAAATAATCCCAAACGAGAAACTTGTGAGGAAGATAATTTATTCTCTTCCAAAAGCTTGGCAATCGAAGAAGACTGCGATTATCGAAACTAAAGACCTAAAGTCTTTAACTCTCGATGAGCTCATTGGTTCTCTCCTCACTCATGAAATGATGATTCAAGATGAGGTAGATCATGAGAATAAATACGACACAAAGAAGGAGATGGAGAAAAAGAAGAACGTTGGTGTTGTTATCAAATCCACCAAAGATGAGAGTGACTCTGATGAAGAAATGACATTGCTTGCCAAAAGACTCTGAAAATTAATAAAGCCCAATAGAGGAAGAAAATTCCAACTAAATGAAGCCTTCAAGAATGAGTCAAAGGAGAAGGACCCAATCATATGATATGAATGCAAAAAGCCTGGGCATATAAAATATGATTGCCCACAATTGAAGAAGAAGGGTCTTTCAAAGAAGAAGCACAAGGCACATGTAGCTATTTGGAGTGATGAAACATTCGATGAAGAGGAACAAGAAGTAGTTAACTTGTGCTTGATGGCCACTGAGGAGGATTCTCAGGTAACCTCTAACTCATTTGATTTAGAAAATTATTCTTTTGATGAGTTATTAGATGAATATAATGGGTTGGCTTCAGATTATGAGAAATTATTTTCAAAATACAAAAAAGATATTTCAAAATTGAAAACCGAAAAAAATCTCATATCCAAGACCAACATTGATCTTGAAAGTAAAATTAAAGAATTGCAAATCAAAATAGAAGATTTTGAAAAGAAAATTTTAGATTTGCAAAACTTACTTTCAAGAGTCAATAATGATCATCAAAAGAAAATTGATGATCTTAAAGCTTCTTTCGATAGAGTTGGAACATAATGTTTTGAAAAATGAGAAAATTCAAAATCCAACTATATTAAAAAGAAATCTTACAATCATAGAGGTCCCCAAAGAACCTCTAATGGTAAAATCATTAGGAGTATATAAGTACCTAAAGGACTCAATACTACTAAAGATAAGGATATCCTAAATAAATGGAAACCCAAGGGGACTAGGCTTTTAGGAACTAATGAATATGGACCCAAAAGAATTTAGGTACCAAAAATAAAAAATTAATCTATGTTTGTAGAAAAAGGAGCATTGCTTCAAGGCACGAAATTCAAACTCAAATTCACGGTACCTTGATAGTGGATGCTCGAGACACATGATCGGAGACAAGAGTTGGTTTACTGAGCTTAACGACAAAAATGGAGGAATGGTAACCTTTGGTGACAACTCAAAAGGTTATATTGAAGGTATAGGTACTATAGGTAATACCTCTTCCATACAAATAGAAAATATATTATATGTGAATGTGTTAAAGCATAATCTATTAAGTATTAGTCAATTGTGTGATAAAGGATTCAATGTCTTGTTTGAATCAAACAGTTGTAAAGTTGGTGACATTACATCTAATAGGATTACGCTTATTGGTCATAGAATAGGAAACATATACATGGTGCATTTAGATTCTATTAACATGACTAATTTATGCCTAGTTGCCAATGATGAGCATGATAGTTGGTTATGGCATAGAAGACTAAGACATACGAGCTTGAGTGTTTTGCAAAGGCTTATTCAAGGCAATCTAGTAAGAGGTTTGCCAAAGCTAAAATTTGATAAAGATAAAATATGTGATGCATGTGCAAAAGGAAAACATAAAAAAGCTTCCTTTAAATCCATTAATGATGTATCAACTAGTAGAGTATTACAATTGATCCACATAGAAAACAATATGATTTTGTATTGGTAGATGACTTTTCTAGGTTTACTTGGGTTCTATTCTTAAGTACTAAAGATGAAGCATTAGCAAATTTTATCACTTTTTCAAAAGTAATCCAAAATGAAAAAGGTTACTCCATTTCAAGTGTTAGGAGTGATCATGGTATTGAATTTAAAAATCTTGGATTTACTGAGTTTTGTAATTTAAATGGAATTATCCATAATTTTTCAGCACTTAGAACCCCTCAACAAAATGGAGTTGTTGAGAGAAAAAATAGAACTTTAGAAGAAATGGCTAGAACCATGCTTTGTGAAAACAATTTGCTAAAATATTTTTGGGCGAAAGCCACAAATACCATTTGTTATGTAATTAACCGAAATTTGATGCTAAAAGTGATGAAGGAATTTTTATGGGTTATTCCTTAAATTCTAAAGCTTATCGAGTATTTAATAAAAGAACTTTAGTGGTAGAAGAGTCTATACATATTGTTTTTGATGATAATCCTCTTCCGAAGAAGGATTCTTGTGTTGATGATGACGTAGGTATTATAAATGTAAATGACGTGGGAGAACCATCATCAAAGAAAGAAGTGAAAGATGAGGAAACTCAAGATGCCTTCAAGAAACTAACCATTGAAGAAAGGGAAGTCATATACCCAAGAGAATACAATTATATCAAGGATGGTGAGATTTTAGGTGACACATCTAAAGGGGTAACTACACGATATTCTCTTAGGAATACTTGTAATTATGTTGCATTTATCTCATGCTGTTGAAAACATTTTGATATTTCGATATAACAAATTAAGTTAAATGAATTTTAAGATTTTCCAAAATGATTTTCTAAGTATATTCGATATAATTATTCGAATATCAAAACATTACTCAAAATATTTCAAAAATCATTTTTAATCCTTACTTAAGTGTAAAATTAAGTTTTAATCTTAAAACAATTTCAAAATAATCTTTCAAAGTATTTCGAACCATTTCAAAGCCAAAAATTCCAGATTGCTCAGAGGGAACCGATTCCCCCCTG